TTTTTTTTTTTTGTGTTGCCCTAGGAAAGATGTATGTCTTTTCCGTCAAGATATAATTAACTTTACACAAAAATACTATATATCATTCACGAAATTATATTTTTGGTGATAATATTTAAATTTCTAATGAAATTGTAGAATTTGACAATGTCTGATATAACAAAATTTGGTGAGCTCGCCCTTTATGGGAATAATTACTTAACTTTGGCCCTTGATGTCGACATTCACCTGAATTCACTAGATTTAAGTGTCGCAACTGATTCTACATCTCAAAGCACTCCCCCCCAGAAGGCGAAATCACTGATTTTCTTCGTCACCACCTCAATAAAGATATGAAAAATGAATATCTCACAGAAAAAGAGCCCGTCAATCTTTGGAAATTCATGAAGGATCGCTTTGACCAACAAATGACTATAGTCCTCCCTCAAGCACAATTTGACTGGCTAAATCTTCGATTTTAGGATTTTAAATCCTTCAATGAGTATAACTCGGCTCTACACCGTATTGTTTCACAACTCAAACTCTGTAAGCAGAACATTATTGAGGTTGAGTTGTTTGAGAAAACTTTATCAACTTTGACCTCGTACTCCAACAGAAGTACATGGATAAGAAATATGCAACTCATTCTGAGCTAATTGCGGCCTTGCTCGTGGACGGAAAACACAATCACTTATTGATAAAAAAACATAATGCTAGGCCAATTGAAACCCAAATTTTGTCTGAAGCACATGCGACTACTCACGGGCATCATAATGTGCGAGGGAGGGGTTGAGAATATCATACTCAGCCACCCCGTGGCGGTCGTGGCCGGGGGGACGCGAGATGAGGGCAGGCTTATAGTGAGGTCCCGGCAGGTCGTAGATAAAACTTGAATATTGAGGCGATTCATTCAAATAGACACAATTCACATCTACAACCTAAAGGGAAAAGGCAGGCTTGCTTTAGATGTAGATGCAATGGCCATTGGTCCCGCACATGTCGTACTCCTCGGCATCTAGTTGAGGACTATCAAAGAAGACTAAAGAATGAGGAAATAAAGGCTCCTCAAGATAAATCACATCACACTAGTTTGCATGAAGAAAATTTAGCCATAAATGATGACGGTTATGATGATTGACTAAAGCTGGATACCTGATCTCTCATATGCATTCTTCTATATTAGTATTGAATATTTTTATTGATAGTTTATTTCATGTTATTAGATAGTTCTGGTTTATTTTGTTCTGTCAGACGATTACAGTTCATTCTTATTTTTTTTATGTTTTCATGTGTTATGATTTGATTGGTATTTTCATGATTGTTTTGTTTGCTTACAATGTTTTACTTTTCTTTTAGTGTACCACAACCATTCACTAGTTTGTATCTAATGGAGAAAGAAGACATTTTATGTCTGGTCGACAATGTTACTATGCACACTATTTTGAAATATAGAATTTTTTAGAAATTTTAATTGAAAAGATAGGAGTGTTACTGCAATTGCTCATGAAATTACCTTGATAGTAGGCTCTGGCATAGCTTTACCAACTCTTTCTATGAGTCTAAATTAACAATTAATGATGCACTTTTGTACCCTGAATCCAAACGAACACTCCTTAGTTTTAAATATATACGATCAAATGGTTTTCATCTTGAAACTAAGACTCAAAATAATAGAGAAAACTACACTCAACCCACCTAATTATACGGTTTTTTGTACTTTACCCACTCAATTTTTTTTCGTGACACTTTACCCATATTACATTCTAAATAATTGCACTTAACCAATTTCCGGTCATTGTCCGACCATTTCTAAGGGCAAAGTGTAATTAAAAAAAGGTGAGTTGGTAAAGTGCAAAGAAATGTATTGGTGGGTGGGTAAAGTATAATTTTTTTTAATGACAATTAACTTAATGAATAATATAAAAGTTAATTTTGCCCTTAGAAATTCCTGACGATGACCGAAAATTGGTTGAGTGCAATTTTTTGCAAAGTTATATGGTCAAAGTGTCACGAAAAAAAAAAAATTGAGTAGGTAAATTGCAGAAAAACCCTGTAGGTGGGTTCAGTAGTTTTCCCAAAATAATATAGAGTGCCTACTTATGACTCAATCACGAAGAAGCTAAAAGAAAGAATTGTAGAAGAACTTCCCTCTTTCCTCTCAGAGTTCTATCATACTTACATTTGATCTTCTGTTAATCATGTTGCGTTGAGCTTAAATATGTAAAGACCAAACTTCATTTAAATTATGGCATGACCTATTGGGTCATCATGGGCTTAGTATGATGCGTCGGATAATTTCTAACTCAATTGGGCATACGGTGTCAAGCAATAGTCTTCATTCTTTTAATGAATTTATTTGTGATGCTTTTTCAAATGGAAAATTAATATTAAGACCTTCACATATTAAAGTTGGGATTGACTCTCCGATGTTTCTTCATAGGATTCTAGGTGATATATGTGACATAATTTATCCCACACCTGAACCTTTTCGATATTGTATGGTCTTGATAGATTCTTTTACTCGATGGACATATGTGTGTTTATTACTAGAAATCAGCCTTTTCCAAAGCTGCTGGCTAAAATTATTTAATTAAGAGCTCAATTTCTTACTTATCAAAGTAAAAATTTGAGAATGGACAATGCCAGCGAATTTACAACGAAAGCTTTTGATGATTGTTGTATGTCACTGGGCATCAAAGTGGAGCAATCGGTACCTTATGTCCACATACAAATAAGCTAGTGAAAATCACTAATTAAGCGCATCAAATTAATTTCTAGACCATTGTTACAAAATTCCAACTTGTCAATTTAATGTTGGGGACATGCAATTTTACATGCTGCTACCCTAATTCAAATCTAACCATTGCATATCATGGTTACTCCACCATACAACTAGTGCATGGTAAATAGCCTGACATTTTCCATCTATGAGTATTTGGTTGTGCTTATGTTTTTATATCACTACCACAACATACCTCTATGGTCCCTCATATAAAACTAGGTATATATTAGATATGAATCTTCGGCTATTCTCAAATACATATATCCATGACTGGGGATCAACTTATATCTCGGTACGCTGATTGTATATATATTCGATGAAGAGAATTATCAACACTAGGGGGAGATAAAAGCCCAAACTTAAATAAATACCAAGAAACTTCTTGGAATGTACAAAATCTCAAATATTTAGATCCACACACAAACTGAACTTAAAGGTTCAAAGATAATTAGATTGCAATAATTAGCAAATAATTTGCCAGATGTATTTACTAATCATAAAAGAGTGACCAAATCTTATGTACCTTCGATAAATACACCACAACGAGTGGAAGTCCTAAAAAATATAATATTCTTATATATGCTCTACGCCAGAAGCGTGGGAGACCTGTTGTTACAAAAGACAATAATCTGCGGAAAATAAAATTTATTAAAAATATTGAATCACTCCCGAAATCTCAAGAGAGAATTTTTCAGAAGGCAAAAATTCTAGTTTATATTCACGTGCACCAAATAATAAAAATACTAGAATTGTTGAACATTCAAATCAAAATATTTTGGGAAATGATGAAGATCTGGTTGATATAAATATTGAAGTAGCTATGAAACTTTTTGATACATGAAAAACTTATAATGAAGTGATATAGTCGTCAACGATAAATTTGACTTTGTCTTTACTATCTCTAATAATAATCGGGATCCGGAACCTAAATCAATGGTAGAGTGTTGGAAACGCTACGATTGGGTAAGATGGAAAGAAGTAATTAATTCCATTGCAAGACGAGCTCTTGAAAGTTGAGCTTGTGTAAGGAGAGGCGGAGAAAGTGACTAAAATCAAAAGGCATCTCTAGGAAGACATTCAGGTCGTCCTCATAGCTTTTTTTTAGGGAGAATGTTGACATTTTCACTTTTTCAGAAGACGACCTCCTAGGATAAGTCCGGAGGTGGCTGAACATCGCTTGAATATTGTCACATCGATAAGGCATGTGAAGAAGAAATGTAGGCACTTTGGAGTAGAGCTTGACTTGACAATCGAGAAGCTGTTGAGGTCAGGTCACATTCGACCTATTCAATTCCTGGAGTGGTTGTTGAACTCAGTGATTGTGAAGAAGGGCAACGACAAGTGGAGAATGTGTATCGGCTTCGAGGATCTCAACAAGGCGTGCCCAAGACTACTACCAGCTGTCAACGATAGAATCATGTCGTCGACTCAATAGTGGGATGTGAGCTCTTGAGTATGATGGATGTCTTACAAAGATATCACCGGATACCCCTCGCCGTCGAGGACCAAGAACGGGTAAGCTTTGTGACCTCAAAGAGGACCTATTACTATGTAATGATGCCTTTCGAATTAGAGAATGTGGTAGCAAGGTAACCAGATCGGGAAAAATATAGAGGTACATGTTGATGTCATGTTGGTAAATAGTAGAAAGGTAAACTTTCAAGACGTTGCGGAGCTATGGGAAGAAGCTCAATTCAGTGAAGTACAAGTTTGAGGTCAGGTCTGGACGATTTTTAGGTTATCTGATTACTGAGAGGATACATGGAAAAAGTACGTAATAATGACTTTGAGCCATATTAGGGTGCAAGGACATGACACGTGTCCTCATACAAAAACTCGTCTTTTAATGATAGGGCTGACTGAGCGATCACTTTATCAATTTACTTTTCGATTTTTGTTCACACTTGCAGATGGATCGACAATCTTCAACAAGGGGTACTAGCTTATAGATCGACGCTTAGATTTAGATGTGGATCGTCACAAGATTAGTGGCGTGCTTCTTGGGCTATTGAGTACAAAAGCTTATTAAAATTGACTTAAAAAAAAAAACAAATTACCCTAAGGAAGGGATTCTATAGGCTTAATGCATTATCAATCTAACAAATACTAACTCAATAATAATGTTCAACCAAAATATTATATAAAACAAATACAAAACAAGATTTTAACCACTAACTGAGATTAATGACAAAAAA